GAGTTTTAATCGTAAATGAATCTGATATAGAGATCAAACAACTTGAGAAACTTTTAAATAGGTTCTATTTGAAACATGTATCGTAGAACTTTTTTGAAAAATGTTCTTACATTACAAGTAATGTGAACAGATAAAACCAGATAAATAAATGTTCTTAAACGTTGAAGTTTCAGATAAAATAGAACTTACAAAATATAAAAATAAAAAGTTTTTCAATATTTGTAGAACTTATCTATAGAACTTACAAACAATGTATAGAACTTACAAAATATAAAAATAAAAAGTTTTTCAATATTTGTAGCAAATACTGATACAGAATATTGTTCAACGAATAATATTCAAATGTAAAAATGGATTTTTAATTAAATGTTCTAAAATAACTAGTTTCCATGAAATTTTTATTACACAGATTCTTAAAATGTTTCATGAGAACATAATTCAGAAGCATTTTTAAGTCTAACATTTCTTCCGATGAAAATTTCACAAAAACAGATATTTTTTATACAAAATATATGTAATTGGAACAAAATTTTTTAAAAAATGAAAAGAACCTGTTAATTTCGACTCTTGGAAGTAATATTACAATTGTTGGTTTTTATTTTTATAATTTGGCTTTTAAAATGTAATTTTAAAATCATTTATAAATACTAAAAATTATTGTATACTTGTTATACAGCATACTTTCAACTTTTTCAGCACAAATTCAAAAAAAATTTGAATAATAATTAACAAAATTACACGATTTACAATTAAATCTGAAAGTCTCAATTTTGATTTATGTATCATCAGATCATGAAAATCTCAAATTAAAAAAATTAATAAATTGCTGTACTTAATTTGAAGGTATTTAACTTTATCTTATGTTGCTTATTCATAGTATAGAACATAAAACGCAAAATGAAGTTAAAAATCATATTGAAATTAAATGAATTAATAATACCAAACCGAAGGTTAATACCATCACTTTTATAAAAAAAAAAAAAAAAAAAAAAAAAAAAAAAAAAAAAAAAAAAA